AATCAATAAAAAGTCCGTAAGCAGAGTTACTTTTTAGACGTAGATGTAATTGAATTGTTGTTTGAAGAGTAAAAATATTATCAGTACATGATCTTTTTTTTCTAAACCCATTTTGCGACTCAGGAATTTTATTGTGTTGTTCCGCCCATGGCAAGAGGCGATCATGCAGAATATGGGTAAAAATTTTTAAGATAATATTGCATAGAGCAATGCCTCTATAGTTTTCGGGTGAGTTTATATCACCTTTTTTGTGTAACATAACAAGTACGGATCGTGACCAAGAAGCTGGTGTGCTTCCAGTTAAGAGAATGTTATTGAATACAGACTGTAGGATATAAATCCATTGACTAGATAAATTCTTAAAGAACTCTGCCGTAATCGTATCTTCGCCTGGAGCCTTATTGATTTTGATTTTATTTATTGCTGTTTTTATTTCAATTATTGTTATTTCCGAATCCAGCGCTTCGATAAAGTTTTCAGACAGTATATGTTCAATGGTAGGACGAGGTGGATAAATTTGTTCGTAGAAGAATTTCCAAACAGAATTTGGTATGGGGTTGTTGACAAAAGGTTTTCGATTGTACGATTTAATAAGATTCCAAAAGTCTTTCGAACTTTTTACATTAAAGAACTTATTTTTGACCTTAATTTCATATTCCGTTCTTTTTTCAGACAGCATTTTTTTGTAATTTGCTTTTAAAACAATGTATACCGTTTTGGTTTCAGGTGAAAAGCTTTGACGCTTGCACTGTTTTAGGGCATGATTTAGATTTTTCTTTGAGGCTCTGAGTCAAACCATGGCTGAGAAGTATAATAAGGAGGCATAAAGGATTTTGTAATTACCATTTCTGATGCTTGAGCTGATTTTTGTATGGAGGATATGATTAGATCACTTTGTTGGTCAATGGATAAAGAACAGAAGTGATGATTCATGTTTAATGATTCAAGACAACGGTTCATGTGCATTGTAAAAATGTCAAACTTTTTTGTATCCCATTTTAATCTGGTTTGCTTACAAGAAGTTACATTTATACAATTTATATTACTAGTGCCGATAGGTAATTCAAGTTTTAGGATTACCGGGAAATGGTCTGAGCCAGAAGCAAGCGCTTGTACTTCTAGGCTTTTTATAAATGGGATTGCAGCGACGTTGACCAAAATTAAATCAATAGTACTGTTTCCATTTTTGTTTGAAAATGTAAAACTTGCTGGGATGTCACCGTCTGTGCAACCGTTAAGCAAAATAAAGCCATTATTTTCTATAAATTCTAATATATTTTTACCACGCGTATTCAAGATTGAATCAAGAGATCTTCTTTTAGATATGAAAATAGAACTAATTTCAGATAAGAATTCTTGAGCACCCTCTTCACCCACTCTAGCGTTGAAGTCACCACCTATTATTAAAGGGATCCCTGCATATTTTTTAATTATTTCATCGATTAATGGTTGAAGCAATTCTAAAGCAATATTTATATCATAATGTGGTTTAATGTACAATGAACCTAAAATAAAATTAAAATTATTAATACAATAAAAGTTGAAAATCCACAAATTTGTTTTGCTTATTTCGCAACTTTTTGCTAAATTTTTTTTAACTAGAGATACAATACCACCACTAGCTCTACCAGTGGACTTTTCCCTTGTTGCTGAGACTGTCAGTGCATCATAGTTGCACCAAGGACTAAGGCTAGTATTGAAAGGTGTTGTTGACCAGGTTTCATAGATAGATATGATCTGCGAGTCAGCAATTTTTGGTTCGTTAAAAAGATTTGCAATACCGTGTACATTCCAAAAAGTTATTTGAAGCTTAAAAAGATTGTATGTAGATTCTGTATTCCATGATGTTGATGGAGCTTCCTCTGTAGTTGTTGTTAATGTGTTGTATTCGTTCTTTAGTTTTTTGCCATATGGTTGTTTTGATCTATCTCATTCATGATGCTTAATAAGTTAAGATTAAGGTTTCCAAGAAATTAAAATCCATGAAGGCTAATGCTATTTTTAATTTCAGGATATAATTTCAAACAATTATTATCAAATTTAATGCTTAATAAGAATTCATATGAAAAATACGAAAGAAAAAAATTATTTCCAAATTACTTAAGAAACAAAAAAACTCGATATACTATCCGGTAATATATCGGAAAGGTTTAACCAGATCTGAATATTTGATCTGATTGTTTACTATAATCATGCAAATGCCAACACAACAATAACTGTGTGAAGTCTTAATTTATAAAACGAACAAATTATTATCCTATAAACAGACAATATATTAATTCTTAAAAAAATATTTTAAGAGCTCATAAATATGGACCCACTAACTAATTTACTTAGTCGGCCTTAACAGACTTGTCCCGTTCTTAGCAGCGTTCGAAGTCTACGCTAGCTGTTTTATTTGAAGACTTGCTTATTGATTGGTAACCAGACCCTTCCATCAAAGATACAGATACATGAAGATATAAATATATCTTTTCCAGTATTTTTTACTAACGTGTACTTAATCAAACACTCTTTTTGCCGTAACATTTTTCTCCAATTGAATGACATGACCATGCAGCAAAAATGTTAAATTTAATTATACTTAACTATGTATTGTGCCTTGAGTAAGACTCTTGATTCATATCATTTCAACTTATCTCATTGATAGTACCAATTAACGTCAGAAGGTTAGTCGTCTAACTCTTCCATCAAATTGCCGGATATTTTCTTTTGTGCTTTCCATTAGTGTATACCTAATGAAACACCTATATTGTATGAATCTATTCCAATAATATGACAACAGTTGAACACATAGTTAAATTTTATTACGCAAATTATAGCACAGCTGTAAAGGTAATACAGCGCTAATACTAAAGATCTTTCCAACAGTTTTTCTCTAGCACATTCCTAATGCGATCTCATCGATGTAGAGCCTAATTTTCGTTTTTCAAAAGTCTAAAGATGCATATATTTTTAAAGTGATTCATCGTCTCATAAAATCAGTAAAGTGCCTAAACTGATACATAAATAAACAACATTATCATAATTTGAAAATTGTAGTCGCCAACAGTAAAGTTAACTTCAAGATTCTCAGAAGGATTCTTTGTCAATACATGAACAGTATGGTCTGGTGTTTGGGATAATTCTGTCTATACCATAGGTATAAATCAATAGTATTTCATACAGTATCTTTACGAGAAGGTTGGATGTGTTGCATTCATTACACAGCCTTAATAAATCGCTATCAGATTGTTTTATTATTTTGCAAAAGTTTTCTTAACCTTAAATAAGATTCTGAAGAATATCTCTAAAATTCTGGAATTTCGCTATAAAAATTTTAATCAAAAAGTTGTTAAATATGTTTTGACAAAATAATAATTATTTAAATAATCTAGATTAAACACCATACTTAACAATTTGAATGCTTAAGCCAACAACAATTAGTTTTGCTGCACAACTCCAATAAGCTTCGGGCAGAAGAATAAGAAGCCTACCCCAAATTTTTTTTTAAAAATATTTGCTGAAATTTGTTTAATTATTAAGATGGGCTACTTTATTGCATTATGTATATCATAATACAGACAATATAAACGACACAAAATTTATTTATAATTCTCATTTAGTTGTACTTTACAATACTATATATATCTTACACATCCAAGCAAAGTGTATATAAATTGTTAATATATAAAATTGGTCAAAAAATATATAGATTAAGCAGACGCTTCATTTCAGAAAACTTGAAAAATATAAATGACTTTTATAAATGACTTCATATAGTGTAGATATGATAACATTTGAAAAATTCAATGTAATATATTTTTGATTTTAGCAGATACTTTTTTCGATATAGTCTGTTAACTAGAATTAATTTTATAATTAAACTAAGCGTTCAGTAAAGAATGTTTATTTTCTTTTAATAACTTTATAAATTAAAAGGATTGTCAAATTTGGAGTAAGAAGGACCCATCAGAACACATCAACACATATTGTTGCATACTAAAAAGTCAACTATTTGCTACTATTTATGCGTTTATTTTGCATGATTATATGATTGAATCGTATTTGTTTAAAAATACAAAAACATCGGATTCTTAACATCAAAAGCGCTCAGAACAGAACCGTGAAGAACGATTATTTTTTTCTTTAAATCTCTAGGACTTAGGTTTTAAGATATTGTGTTAATGTCTAATTGATCGAAATCATTTATCATCATTAATATCACATAATTTTAAATATAATATATCAAAGAAAAACGTATTTGTCTAATTTATTACAATTTTGTAAACGTTTGATATGAAAACCTAGAGTCCTTAAAAAAACTTACCATAATATACTTCCAATTTTTTAATTTTCATAAAACTAATTAAAAGACCTGTGAAACCCATGCATACATAAAATATTGTTTCGTTAAATTGTTTTGTTCAGAGTCCGTCCAATACTTGTGGTCACAATACACATAGACATCTAAAATTACGTTATGAGTATGTTATGATCAATCCAACTTGTCAATCTGATTAACGTATAAGTTCCATGATAAAAATATTTATCCGTTTGCATACATATAGTTCAACAACCCTTGCTCGATATAAATTTTTTACTGATAGGAAAAAAATTCCATATTTTTATCATTAAATAATAAGAAAAGAACTATACATTATGCATATATCTGAAGCTAGTAGATATCATGTCAAGCTATAACTTAATGAATGGAAAAATCTCATTGACTTTGGGACAAGGCTTAATGCCAATACAATGAATATGATAATATCACAGCAAATCAGAAAAGTTATTACTTAAAATATTACTATATATTATATAATACGACTACAACTCCCAATAAAAACTACACTTCAAATATCTATCTTTAATTTTAATCTAAGCGTTTTTAACACATATAGGGAAATCTAAGTCAATCAAATATTATCTAAAATTTCACAATAAATTTTAAGAAATAGAGTAATGAATTGCAAATAGACGTGGTACTAATACCTAATTCTCTCTATTTGCTGCTATAGATATCGACAATAATGGCTACCTCGACCAAAACGATTTCCAATGTATGGCTGTCCGGGCATGTGTTGTTGAGGGCAAGGGCGACTGCAGCACCGGCCGTTTGGATGAATACCGTAAATTGATGAAAAATTTGTGGGATGAAATATCAGAAATTGCTGATGATGACAAGGTAAAGAGGTTTATAAGAAAAGATTAACGAATATAAATAATAGAGTAGTTCTTATTTTTTATACATTTTCGATGAGTTAATTGTTCAATTTTTTTTTACAAGAGATTGTATAAATATTATACTGATACACATTCTATTCTTATACATTTTTTCTTAAAGGATGGTAAAATTTCAAACAAAGAGTTCAAGGATGCTGTAAAGAAAACCTGTGTAGGAAAGAAATACGATGATTTCCCTCAGGCAATTAATTTAACTAAATACAAAATGCTTAAAATAATATTATTGAAATTATTACACTTTTAGGCTATGAGAGCATTTATTGAAGCTAACTTTAAGGTGCTTGACATCAATAACGATGGCATCGTTGGAATTGAAGAATACCGGTACAACTGCATATCGAGAATAGCTATCGATGATATTACACCAGTGGACAAATCATTTGATGCAATGTTAAATGTAAGTTTTTTGATTTTTTGATATAAAATACTTCCAATTTTAAAAATTTTTTACCTTAATGCTCAATAAGTTTGTAAATTGTAAAACTGATTTTATTATGCAATATATTTTAAAATTAAATTGATCCTAAATATTAAAATAATAATCTGAGTTAATAATTTTACTAATTTGAAGAAAAACGTTGATATCTTCTTGCATAATCTTAAAACACAAACACAGTTCGGCCCAAGTTCATATCACCCCTGAGCCTATTGTTTTGGTTCAGTATAATGGCGGTGGTCATCCATAGTGATAAAATTCTTTTTCTACGATTCATATGATTCAGTTATAATTGACTAAGTCGCATTCGAATGTGTTTTTGCTGTATTGTGAACGAAGGTGACATTTATTGTGCATACAGTTTTTGAAATTCAAAGCTTAATATAAAATATTGCTCACTATATCTAATGAAATATCTATAGCTTCTACCTAATTTCTACTGATTAATTGACGATCTTACAAAAATATATTCTGTGTCTTTTGGCGACGATTTCTGGTCTTGACACAGTTTCTGTACGATCTTTATGTGGATCATCTTTAGGGCTTATACGACCACAATTAAACAAACAAATTTTCTTTGAAACCAATATTTTTGGTTTGAGCAGATCACTCTTGAGGAGACCATTTGTTTTTAAACTATTTTACAAAGAATTTAATAACTTTGTAATATTCAATTATTTCTATTTCAAAGTTTTTTATGTTTAACCAGAGACCTGTAAATTTGTGCAAGACCCTCTGTGTCTTTTTTGTAGTTCAGTCTCTGATTGTCGGGAACATCAATTATGTGTAACATTTCCAGCATTAGTCTACGTCTATAATTTAGCTCTTTGTTGATGATCTGTACTTCCTCAAAATTTTAAGTATTGTTCATCATAGTGCAATGGGTCGATAATGCTGTTTTTTTATTATTGGGAGTTGATCTGCTTTTTATTTCATGTTTGTGACTAGCGATTGACCCGTCACCTCTACATGGAATTTTGTATACGATATCATGCACATCTAATTTGTACATTGGGGTTTTTGTTTGGTTAAAAAAATGATTTTTAAATGTGTTTCTGCCTTTAAAAGCTAATGTGTGCGTGTCTTGATTATAGCATTTGGATTTGTTGAAATTTTCCAAAAACCCAGGGAAATACATCTTTGGAAGATAAAGTTTTGGTTTGGAATCGAATTTGATTATACGCACTGTATTTCCCTGTTTTAGGGGAAAATAGATGGTCCGTTTTGAAGCATTAACTCGAAATTTTAGTTCTACTATTGACATATTAGATAGGTTACCGGGAACTTATTGAGCAATCTAGTAGTAAAAGGGATATTTATGCGAACAGTCTTTTCAATTTATCAAACCTTATAAACGGAAAACAAAATTTAAGACAATCTACAGATTTCTTTCTATATTTCAAAATATTTGGTTACATTTTTTTTAATTATCTATTATTGAATTTATTTTAACTATTATATATTTATTTATAACTATTATATATTTTAACTATTATATATATTTAACTATTTATATATATTTTTTTAAAACAGGATGATGATAAGAAAAAGGGTGGTCTATCTCTTGATCGTTATAAGGAACTCTATGCGCAGTTCTTAGGTAACACTGCCGAGAACCATCCAGCTGTCAACTTGTTTGGGCCTCTATAAATTTTTCTAAATTGTATTTTAAAAAGTTCATCGTCTTCGCTGTTGTTCAACAAATTATTTTTTAATTTATTTTTAATTTGTTAAAATATTATACATACATATATTTACTATTTATAAACTTTTTGAATTATATTATCATTATTATTATTATTATTATTTTTATTATTATACAATTTAAATACAACAACATTTTGTTATATTATTAGCTATGACTAACAACCAATTTAAGTAAATGGTATTATGTACCCGCGCGAAACAAAAATCAAAAACAGAAAATATTTTATCATCAAAAAAAAAACACACAAAAAAACAATATAATAATATAATAAAAATATATAGAATCGTCAATAACTATTTTACATCAAATACATATATATTATAAGAAAAATTACTTTTTTATGGAAACTATTTGTTCACAAACTAAGAAGTAAATATTATTAATAAAGAATAAATTAAATATTTACGAATTTTTTATGAAGAAATATAAAAATCAGATAATGATTATCTGCTCTCCTACAAAAAATCTCTAAATAAAGTCTCTCTCTCTCTCTCTCTCTATTAACATATTTAAGTATTTATTCTTTATTACAATTTTTATAATTAAAAAATTATTTAAAAGGAAATGCAATATTTTAACTGAAAATAAATATGTTTATCAATATTATTATTATTATTATAATTATTATAATTATTATGATTATTATTATTATATTAATTATTTATATTATGTAAATTCAATATTAATGTTTATTCGTATCAATTTTAAACAAGTTCAAATTCATGTTTGTATCAATAACGGTAAAACAAAAGCATAAAATATATATGTATGAGTTATCAAAACAAATATATCGTAAATATATATAAAGAATATCTTTTAAACAATAATACATAATTATATATAAAACAATAAATGCACAATTCAATGTAAATGTTAGGCAATTTATATGTTTCAACTTATAACTTTGATGTTCCTTCGTTTTATACATTCAATAAAGAAAATATTCAACTAGACAAGAAAACTGGAGTTTTAATTAAAATTTTTATTGAATATTAATTTTTTCTTGCCGAGAATGACGCATCTTATGACGAAAGGAAACTACTTAAAAGTTAGAAGGTTTCGAATAGAAATAAAAGGACAACAACAAAAGTTTAGTTAATTTATTGTGACAAAAAAGAACTATTTAAAAGTTGGAAGGATTTAAATAGAAATGTTTATTTCTATTCTATTCTATTCAATTTAATTCAATTCTATTTAATTCAATTATATTCAATTCTATTCAATTCTATTCAATACTATTTAATTCAATTTAATTCAATTCTGTTCAATTACATTCAATTATATTCAATTGTATTCAATTCTATTCATTTCTATTCTATTCAATTATATTCAATTGCATTCAATTCTTTTTATTTATATTCAATTATATTCAACTCTATTCAATACTATTCAATTCTATTCAACTCTATTCAATACTATTCAATCCTATTTAACTCAACTCTATTTAATTCTATTACAAAAATGTTTGTTTTTGAAATGGACTTAGATACATCTTGTATTGAACAGTTATAATACTTCGTGCTATATAGCTCACATAGACTAAGTAAGAAATACTATATTTAATAAATAAATAAAGAGGTTTTTCGAACAGTAGTGAACTCCAATTTTAATTAGTTGGATTTTTGGCTGACCATACAGCTGTTTCGAGCATTGCCAAATACCCATCATCAATGGTCTTGGAAATAATTCTTGTATTTAATTATTCGTAAATGATTTTTCTTTTTTTTTTTGGAATGCAAGTACCAGGAATCGAACTCGTGCCCTGCCAAATTTGAAGCTCAGAGTCAGCGCTCCTTAACTAACTGATCCAAAGCCGTACTTGGCTTTTATGTTCGCACATTTTTCTCGAGTTTTGTTAATTTGCTGTGAAAGTTCATTAAGTTCATTAATATAAACACCTAAATCAAGAGTGATCTGCGTTTATATTAGAACGACATCATACACCAGCTGTAGAATAATTGAATTAAATAATTATTTTTTTTTATTTTTTAATTGTTAAATTTCAATACTATTCTGTTTGTAGAAGGCATTATTTGTTGCATAATTATATAAATAAATAAATAATTTAATACTTACTTAATATTTTTGGCACATTTCAATTTTTGGTCAAATTCCATCTCTTTCTTCATTTAGATAGCTTTTTTAAATTACTTCGCACGGTGCATCTCTTGATATTTAAAGAATTTATGTTTATAATTTAACCAGAAATACGTACCTACATTAGATATAGATCTTCAATCTTAGATCAATCTTGGTCTTCATAATTATATCATTCAATTTCTAATTACTAAAACAGGCTTTTAAAATGCAAGTTATAATATAAGTATATGGTTTATTTAATGGAAATTTCATAAGTCACATGTGAGTATTAAAGCTAAATTGCTAGATTAGAAAGACTCTGAAAAACATAGAAGAAGAAGGATAGAAGAATAAACAGCTGTGGCAACACCAAAAAGATCATTATGAAAACTGAGAAAAAGAAAAAAGTTAAAACGGTCTCCCGCGACAGTTTTGATTAATACGGAGGAATATAGATATAATATGTAGCATAATTAACTGAAGTTAAGTCAGTGTAAATAAATAAGTGTAAATAAAACCGCTAAAACAACCACTACACAGCTTACACCAGATTTTTTTTTAAAAATGTTTGCTCAAATTTGTTTAATCATTAAGATGGGCTACTTTATTGCATTATGTATATCATAATACAGACAATATAAACGACACAAAATTTATTTATAATTCTCATTTAGTTGTATTTTACAATACTATATATATCTTACACATCCAAACAAAGTGTATGTAAATTGTTAATATATAAAATTGGTTAAAAAATATATAGATTAAGCAGACGCTTCATTTCAGAAATCTTCAAAAATAGTTTCATAAATAAGTTCATATAATGCAGATATGATAACATTTGAAAAATTCAATGTAATATATTTTTGATTTTAGCAGATACTTTTTTCGATGTACTCTGTTAACTAGAATTAATTTTTTAATTAAACTAAGCGTTCAGTAAAGAATATTTGTTTTCTTTTAGTAACTTTATAAATAAAAAGGATTGTCAAATTTGAAGTAAGAAGGACCCATTAGGACACATCCATCACATATTGTTGGATACTGAAAAGTTCACTATTTGCTACTATTTTTGGGTTTATTTTGCATGATTACATGAGTGAATCGTATTTGTTTAAAAACATAAAAACATCAGATTCTTAACATCAAAAGTGCTCAGAACAGAACCGTGAAGAACGATTTTTTTTTTTTAAACCTCTAGGACTTAGGTTTTAAGATATTGTGTTAATGTCTAATTGATCGAAATCATTTATCATCATTAATATCACATAATTTTAAATATAATATATCAAAGAAAAACGTATTTGTCTAATTTATTACAATTTTGTTTGTAAACTTTTGATATGAAAGCCTAGAGTCCTTAAAAAAAACTTACCATAATATATTTCCAATTTTTCTAATTTTCATAAAACTAATTAAAAGACCTGTGAAATCCATGTATACATAAAATATTGTTTCGTTAAATTATTTTGGTCAGAGTCCGTCCAATACTTGTGGTCACAATACACATTTTCCAATTTACTTCACTCAGCGTTGGAACCCTATTCGTATTTAGGGAATTACAATGTAAAGTACATATCACTAATCTCCGCAATTGAACTATATGGTGTTTCGTATGTTGCTCATTTTTATCTATTTTATTTACATTGAACATTCCAGTAAATAATTCCATTTTCCCTCTACTTTTACAGACGATGTACCAAACTAATGCCATCATGAAAATGATTTAAAAGCTTCAAGAGAAATTAAAAAATCACTTCTCTTTGGTAAAAAAAACGACTAGTCTAAAGCAGTAACAAAATCAGCTAAAATAATGCCAGCATATCACTTTCAACTTTTATAGAAGTATTTTCCCAACAGTTATGTTACATATCACGTTACCAACAGTTATGGTATATCTCGTTACCATATCTCAATTCAACAATTTAACTTATTTGGGAATTCACTTATTAAGAAGACCAAACCAACTTTAATCTGTTAAGCTGGACTGATTACTCAAGTACCAATCCCCTCTAAATTTCGATTATAAAATTGCTTATGGAATAGTATCATTAAACTAATTCGAATATATGATCTTTAACTATACCGCAATGCAAATATATAGGGCAATCACAGAAGATCTTTAAGTATCTATGATGTCATCAGAATTCGTAAATATAAAACAACAATCATTTGTCTGATCACTGGATTTTACGACTAGGGCTGAAAGTCGGCCGCCATAAATTACAACTTAAAAATGAGTTAAAACAACAATGATTATCGTTATTGGTTTTATTTATTTTTCGCGTTTTTCTCTTTTACTTACTCATATCTTTGTGAAAGAGCTTTTAATCCCTGAACTATCTATTCTTAGAGCATGTCCTTTCTATACTTAACAGTGTATCTATTTAATCGTCAAAAAAGAGACGACCATAGATTATAAAAATAATTAACTTTGTAATATAGTTGTAAGTTGTTTGAAACTCTAACTAGTTATTGTTAGTCCCTAACAGAAAAAAGTCATTCAATATCTATATTATATCTATATAAGGATGTATATGTACATGTACTTACAGCTGATCAAAAAAAAATCATGTCATCTTTTCCAAATTCTTTGCAAATATTTCAATATAATCAAAAAAGATTTATATTTTTAAATACTTTAAGGATATGCTGCTAAACTCCGGAAACGAATAGTCGAAACTGACAAATAATTTATATTTCGAACCTCCTCTTAGAGTACAAATGTTAAAATACGAGTATTTACAACTTAAACAACATAAAGTATGTGCTTGAGATTCTTAAATATAAATAATAAATTAGTGTCTTTTTATTTATATTAAAATTTGACCAATTAGCCCGGTAACAAATTATTATAATAATAATTTTTGGTCACAAATATAAGTATTTAATATTTACAAAATATTTGTAGTAATTACAGAATAGTATAATTAAAACATTCTAAAAGCACAAGAAATGAGAGCGAGCAAAAAAAAACGACGAGAACAAATTTTGAATATTAATATTATTATGGCACTCTTTCATAAAGTCTTGGGTATTACTGAAAACCGGGGGCTCGTTGTGATTTCATGTAAATATTTTTCACTTTCCTAGCCGTTTAGTATAAATCATATGTATTCGATAACAAATGTTTTATTAAGTCAATCTCGCCTAATTCAGTCATTTGCCTAAAGTAGGAACATCTTAAAAAGTTAACTCTTTGCATGTAAACAATCGGAAATCGGCAAAATATACGTTTAATTGCTTCTTCAGAACCACATCCTGGCAACTTCTACAAAAGCCCCTGCTAAGGGCAGCCAATCTAATTGCGCGTATATCTATAAAACAATGATCTAAAATTATGGATCGTAGCAGACCGACACTACATCTCGATAAACATAGGAGAATGTTCGTTCATATATTTGTTTCACCTAACTCCTAACAATTTAAAAAATAAGCACATTTTTATCTCTTTGAAGTTTTAAAATTTGTAAATCTAAACCTCGTTCAGCATTTAATATTACATTACATATATAAATAAATATTTACATATGTATTAAATTTACAATTTATTGAAATAGATGTTGGGTAAAAATCAATACTAAACGCAGAAGATTAAATCTTTGTCCTATATATTTATTGTTAAGGTTCAACTAACGCAAATAGCAAAGTTACAAATTTACAAAAATAATATATATAAATACATTCTGCATTATAACAATTTGATTTGAAGATTCTTAAAATATATTTTTCAAAACATAATTTAAGTAATTACGATTTTTTTACATTTTTGGCTGCCATATATTTTGATGTTTCTGCTTCCATATATTTAATAAAGCGAGTTAAATTTAATTGTACAGTCTGAACAGCAAAGTAACGTTCCATTAAATCCTTTTTCTGCTGTCGTCCCTAAAAGAGTTCAGTAAAGTAAATTTTTTTTAATTCGTTTATAGAAGTGTAAATATTTCCTTTGCACTCACTTTTGCTTTAAATACTTTCGATAAATTTTGAATGCGTTCTATAATTTTGCCTTCAATAACAATTTGATGCCAATCATTATCAGCAAATATATCCATAAATGCATCTAAAGCTTCCGACATACACCATACATCCTCTTCCTGTTAACAAATGAAACACACCTCGTCGTATTATAAAGACAATTAAATAAGCTTAGAATATAAACTAACTTGTTCGGTGGCTTCAATAATAAATAAAATAATGATTTTAACCAATGTTTCCGGTAATAAACATCCTAATGTGCCCAACATGCGAAACCAATTTGCCCGAATTTCAGGTACACTGCAATTGTTGATACCACCTAAGATCAACTATAAAAATATAAAAGTTAGTTACTTAAATGAACTTAAATACTTATTGTAGATAAATACTTGTTGTAAATAAATTATTATAATATCGTTATACTGTGTTTACTTTTAATAGTTATTTTGTTGTATATAGGGGCAAGCTCAAGTAGCTGATAATTAACCTGTCAACTAATACTATTTCTTTCATTAAGTAATGTTTGACAAGTCATCATGCTAAGACTTAATTGTAAACAGAATTTGTGCAGAATTAATATACTCGTATATATTTAAAATATGTGTTCAATAAAATATAGTTACCTAAACAGTGCTATACTTTCTAGGTATAGACTAGACTATGAGGTTTACTTTTGCTTCAATAGCTTAAGAAATAGAAATCTTTTAGCAACTGATACATCCTAAAAAGAAAAACTCTTCGGTGCTTGAATTGAATAAAATCAAATAACATCCTCAATAACCTTGTCGTTGTAGCCTGCAAGGTCCTGAAACCAAATAACACGAAAGGTTGTACAATACGAATACATGGATTAGGAAGTGGATGGGTGATGGTTGAGACAGGGGGCAGGGGAAATAAGGGAGAAGGGGAGGGACAATAAGAAAAAATGGGAGGGGTAATAACGGAGAAGGAGTACTGCTTGTTTTGGGAGTGTTAGTGCTTAGTCATCGATGTCAACGAATGGCTTCGGAAATAAAGCAAAAACACTTTAAGTTTAACGAAACAACTGAGATTTCATTCCAAAGCCACAAATGTTTTCCAACGACCAAGAGCTATGGTACTTAATAACTTTAAATTTCACTAACAAGAATATGTAATGTGTATCGGAAACGTCACTTAACATTTAGAAATGAAAATCGCAATGCTAAGAACAGGAAACTGATATATAACCAAATAATTTGTCCGTCACTTCTATATGGTTGTGTAGCGTTTAGCAAAGCTTAAACACTACTATTCACCAATTAGAAATTGCACAAAGCCAGGCTCTGAGAAGACTTTTCAAAGTTCCTTGGTATATTAGGACGAATGACATCCTTAGGGACCTCAAGATTGATTCCATCAAAAAATACATAAAGGATAGAGCCTTGAAATTATTTGCGAAATCTGACAGACTTACTAACACCGCATTATGAAATCTCAGAATGGTTACAGGCTCCTCGGGGAGGTATGCAGATCTGAGGTCAATTATTACTTAGTCTGATGATGTGATAAATAATAATCCAGTCAAGGCGCAAAGAGGGGTTTTGAAGAAACCTCGCAGTTAATATAGAGTAAAAGTGCTCAGGTGCACTGACTCAACTTCCCTCAACGTAATAATAATTAATTTTATATTTTATTGTATTATATTCAAATCTAATATCAATTCAGTTTGAAGCTTATTATACCAAAGAGCAAATTAGCTGTGATGAAGAGGAAAGCTACCGACAAATGCATTTTATACGAATCACAACTTCGTGTCAAGCATATATTGTCTAAAGAAAATGTTTCATAAATTCAAGCAATGATTATATTTAGATACATACAATATGTCAACGTAAAAAAACTATATTATAAAATATGTAATCATTCTCTAAAGTCAACTCTAAAAACGCTAAAAACATTCAAAAAACTTAGACCAATTTTAAAAAAGCATTGCCTGTTTTGAAAATCTCTGCTTTTATTTTTCATATGAAGATTTGTTTCTATCTAAAAACTAAAGTTTAAGATATTAATATATATTCATATTTTTTATGATAAAAATGCAAAGAAGTCAAACTTTATGAAAATGAGGAATAAAAGATAAATACCAACCGAAAAAACAACAGCAGTCCAGTCACTCAAAAATCCAGTACACTTAGCATTACGAACTTGTTTTAGATCTCCTTCTCTCTCATATATTATACCCTATTCACACCCTACGATTTCGAAATTATATTTATGTTATCTGGCTTATCTGTTTTAGAGAAACCAGGTCGATAAAGCGATATTGAGGCGTTAGCGTAAAATTCTATTAAAAACATCTAGACCCTACTTTCCAGATGAGAAAAAATGAATGAATTCATTTTCATTTCACCACTTTTTTCTTTGGTAAAAGAAAAGCCAACCAACTGTTGATTAACCTACAAATTATTGAAAAAATAAGAGAAAATGACTTCCCTGCTTATGAAAACTTATTAAAAACATCCATCGGAAGATAGGAATAAAGTCATTATATTGTTAAAATTAAAATAAAATAAATAAATAAATAAAATAAAAAAAATAAATAAATAAAATAAAAAAAATAAATAAATAAAATAAAAAAAATAAATAAATAAAATAAAAATAAATAAATAAATAAAAAAAAAATAAAAAATAAATAAAATAAAAAAAATAAATAAATAAAATAAAAAAAATAAATAAATAAAATAAAAAAAATAAATAAATAAAATAAAAAAAATAAATAAATAAAATAAAACAAATATTAACAAATCAGAAATAAACTGTCTATGACCTATATTTTTAAACAGAACTGCATATTGAGTATGGAAATCCTAGACGTGAATAATTAGTAAATAAATTAAACATATACAAACACGAAAAATAAAAATTAGGACATTGTAAGCAAAGATAATCACTAAAAAGATCACTAAAAGTTGCGCTAAGAACTATGATACTTTAATGCATTATAGTTTTTTACATTTTTTTCTAATTCAATTAATATATAAATTAATTTTATGTTCTACTTGAATTATTGCTTATATAAAAAACTTGTTATAATCTTAAAAAGTTAAAAAAAAATTCATTACTCATTAAAATGATTCATTAAAATTCCCAAATTATTTTTTCTTCAATTCTTTTTGTAATTTTCAAATTCTTTTTCTTTAATTTAATATAAAAAAAATAAGATTTTACGATCTAATATAAAATATATATAATTTACCTCTAAATCGTTTTGACTCATTTGGCTAAAAAGATCCTTACTGCTTTTTAAATGTTCCAGAGCAGAACGCATTAAAGATGTTGATGGTTCCAAGAGCGAAATATCTGACTGTGTATCAGGTGACACTTTAAAAACTTGCTTGCCTAATTCCACCCAAACGTTATAAACTGCGTTACATCCGCCCAAATCTTCAGTGTCTAAACAATTGCACATATTTTGCAATGCGATGAGTGATGATACACGTAAAAAATTTGTCCTAAATATGTAATTAATGTAAGTTCCATTATTCATAAAAACTTACTTCTTTAATAAATCGTCGTTTGTGCACCGCAACAAATCTACAACATCTTCTTGCAAGGGTTGGGCTTTTTTCCACAGCTAAATAAAAATGGTTTAGTATTTATACGTCTATAACGTTATCGAATATGTTTACTTTTTCAACGACCGCTAGAGATTTAATAGATTCGCTTAATTCGACAGGTAATTTATTGCAACAGTCACTAGAATCTTTTTCCATATCCGCATTAAAATCAGTAACGCTTTCTTCTTCTGAATTTTCAGTATCTTCACATTCTTGCCAGTCTTTAAACATATATTTTAAATTAGCAAAAATTAAAATCACTTTACTTTAGTTATTTCATACCTTCTTCGTCATTTGAAGTTAAATTAGTTAAAATTTCGGCAGCAATACGTTGCGCATCTAGCATAAATCCGACATCTCTAACTGCTATATCTGCGTCTGTCGGTAATTCTTGTCGTCTACGTCGAATTCTAGCTGCATCTTCCGTTTCCGCTAAACAAATAATATATTATTAAATATATATACAAATAATGAAAATTTTTATTTATTGAAATTTATTAATGAATTTTAATTATTAAATTGTAATTTTTTTATTATTAATAGTAACACTTACTATCATTGGTGTCCATTCTTATTTCCAGTTCTGGTGCACTACTATCGGTTTCTTGTTGTTGCAATGAACTTATAGTATTTAGCAAAATAGACTGATGGTCTACATCAAGACTATGACTTAAAGTTTTAACTATGTGCATTACATATGATGCAGCCAGCGCTGGAATATTTGCGAGAATTCCTTTTCATAAGCAGAAAAATAAAAAAAATGACTATTTAAAAAAATTTCGTATTTTTTTATATATTTGTATATAATAACATTTACCCGCAGTTAAGGTGCTTAAATAGACATAACCATGTTTCCCAGAAATTTCTAACAATGCTATCAGTTCAGGTATACAATTACTGAGAACGTTCCAACAAGTACTATTGTTTTCGGATACAACTAATAAACACTGCGCCACTGAAATTGAAATGTCTAATCCGTATTTTTTATAATTAAGGCACTGTAGTAGTCTGTTATAAATATTTGCTTGATTAAATATTTTTAAAGCTTCCATCGAACTCTCGCAAAGATTCCACAATAGATTAATTGCTTGCAAAAATATATCAGAACGCAAATCAATTTCATCGCGCATTGAAGCGTCAAACTTGGGAGTCCAATCGTCATCATGCATATAGTCCATAAGCAACGCCAATAAAGGTGTCATTAGATCTTGAAGTACTAAATATTCACATATTTCTGTACCGTGGACGGAGCAATTTCTAAGTGCACCGGCTGCAGCATTGCGTACCGCTTCATCACGTTCACACAACAATGGTCCAACAATTCTAATAATGTCAGTGGTACATAGTAAGTCAACTTTTTCCTTATTAGATGCAAAAACCGCCAACGTTTGAAGTCCGTTAATTTTCTCCTCAATGTTAGAATTTTGAAGCTGTTCTCTTATAGCTCCAATTGGTCCGTCATGACTGAACTCATCATCACCATCAAATTGCAACTCGGCAATACCGTTGGAATTAAAAATAAGTGGATTCAAATAATCACTATGTCGCACTTTATTTCGTCTTATTTTACCCATGCTGGGAGCAATATTCAACACAAACGATACCCGTGTTGCTTTCCCACGTGCGGACAACAAATACTGCAAGAGTTGCCATCTCTAAAATTTTCATTATTTTATGAGCAAGCAACGAAAACTCTTAATTTAGAGAACTGAGTTTTTAGCAATTTATTACTTACTGTTTATGTATTTGCCACTTATATAGATTAAAATTGAATCTTATTAATATTAATGATATTGCAATAAAAGTATCATACTTTCTGGTTTAATTCAGTTTTTTATAATAAAAAACGTTATGATAATAATTGATTTAGTATTGTTTGAACACAATTTATTTTTAGCCATTGTTGCCATGACTTTTTGGTTGTGTTCATTATTCAAAAACCGATACTTTTTAGGGTTTTGCATGGATTGTAACGAATAAAAAAATTTTTACCAAATCTCAATTGACTATATTTTTAATTTTTCATATGTTCCGTGTGTCTATTTCGATTGTTTAATCAAATTATTTAAAAAGTAAATCAGAAATTTATAACCTCTTATATATATTCAGGTGTAGCAATTGAAAATTTTATATTGAAAATATTTTTCATTAATTAATTATTGATACGACCAATTTTATCAATAGGGGCTTCACTCTGTCTGGCAAAATCATTGCAAGGTACATAAAATGCAAGAATTGCAATATCAAAATGAAACAGCTGTGTTGTAGCATACGATAACAACATGAGAAGCAACAGATATTAAAACAAATGCTTTTTTTCCTTTTTTGTCTCGTTGCTAGCATATATTAGGTTTAGGTTTAGGTATAGTAAGATTGCAAACAATTGCAAGAAACTTTGTGCATGTATTCGGTTGTTGTTAATTGCAAGCTCACGCACTCTAAACTAAAGCCACTCTATGACGTGTTTTGTTACATTTTTTTTGGATTTAGCTCCGTCAACTCCAATTGTTAATGTGCAAGAACTAAAGCATAAAAAAAATCCTATCTTTAAATAGCATCGTGCTAAAATATTCAACTTCACAACCTTTTATATGTTACATTGATTATTTATTTTAATGCAATTTTCTATTATATTTTTCAACACTTTACCGTGAGTCATATGGTTTATTTTAAAGAAAAATGTATGAGATTCTTATAACATTTAAGATAATATTACTTATTATAATATTCAAGATTGTATTTTTGTCTTGTCTTTTCAATTGCGAGAAGATTAGAGATTAGAAACATGTTGATGTTAACATTACACTTTACTATCCTAAATATTTGAAATCCTCTAAAATAAATCGTGTGTTCCCATTGCCTTTATTAGAGCAATTTATTTTATTTAAGTTGTTAATAAAGTTGATTATTTGTACAAAGAGCTTTAGCGCTTTCCAACTTAGTTAAGAATAAATTAAGAAAAATTAAATTATTTGTATGGGAATTTTGTCAGCTGAAAACAGATTTGATTAGTAGCAAAGGTATTCTTTGATTAGTAGTTTCTGCAAAATCAAGTTGATTTTAACTTGGATAGGTTAGGTTAGGTTCGGAAGGCGCGTGCTAACAGTTGTCAGCACTTCCAGCATATATAGCCCATTGTGATTCCCTCAAAAAATTTTGCCGGCAGAAGCGAATTGCTAACCTTTGTAATCCTTGTTAAACTATTTGGTTTTCCAGATGAAGTTGAGGAGATCCGATAAGTTTGCTTTCGTTATCTTTTCCAAGACAGTGAATAAGCGATCTCCAATACATTTAAGTCGCCTTGTCTGAAGTCTTGGACAGAGACACAGGAAGTGGTTGATAGATTCTATCTCCTCTTCATCTTGGCAACTACTGCATAATCTACTTGTTGAAACTCGCCACCGTTGGAGTACTCCAGTTAATACTCCAGTAAGTTAACTTGGATAGTTCACCGTAATACAGTATTGTGTATGAATTCAAGATTCATTCATATAAAAATAAAACAAAATTGTAAAGGAATGGAAAATGAAAATTTTTAGTAGGACTGTTCCACGGGTTACTCGTAGAAAAACTGAAATAAAATACAAATAAAGGACAAACTGAGAGCGTGACACAAATAAAGTGTCAAATTACGCTTTTTCCAGAGATTCTTATGGAATAGGTAATTTTTTTTTTTTATTTTTTGGTATTAGTACTGTTCTCCTATAATTATTTCGCATGCATCACTTATTAGACCGAATATAACCCCAAAACGAAAATAAGAATGATATAAAAGTATACAATACTTGTCCTTGTTTCCAGATTGAATGAAAGCAAGCTTTCTCGTTTTTCGCATTTTTAGACTTGTACTGAATGTTGTATTTTAGCGACATTATATCGTGTTATATAACTTGATTCAACACCAACTAGATTTTGACATGTGTTCACATTTATACTAAACATAAAAATTTGTGTTTTCATATAAAAATCTTGTCGAAGTCTTGTCAGTGTAAACACAGATGTAGTGGGTAGCGAAAAACATTCCATAGGGATATTAAAAATATAATATGTAACAGAGTTTTAAAGATAAGATTCCTTGAACGCATGAAAGTATAGCATTTGTTGAATATTTGTTGTAGAGATCGATACAAAAAGTTTTTATACATGTTATATAACAGCACCGATGTATATGAGAAGTCTAGTTGTGGATAAAAGAATAAAGAAGACTACTATCGTTATATGTACCTGAAGAGTTATCATAGCGGATCTAAAGCTCTCAGCGTTGTAATTTAATGTGAATTTAGTTTTAAATGTATAAACATTGCTCGTCGTCTTAATAGTCGTTGTGTAGAACACATTACAAGCTAACATTTGCTTATAGAACATCTTAGGTTGTAACAAATTCTTCCTAGTTACGGTATCGAATTCATAGCCCATATGAAATACCTCATTGTTCCTCAGTCATGAAGACAAAATGTCGCAACAAAACTTTTACAATTATGAGTTTGTGCCAGGCAAAGATGAAATTCGAGGCTTCAATGTATGCATCGCTATATGACTAGGACTGTTTATTCGAAAAAAATAAGTATAATAAAATTTTGTAAGTGGTTATCGATTGTTCGTTGAACTAGTATAAACAAGTTCGAGTTCGTTTAACTCAGAGAAAAACTTTTAAATAAATAAATTGTGTAAAGGTTCACAGTGTTCACAAAAGGCAGTTTATTGCCCACAAATCTTACTGCATGCTCCATATGAATTTTGTTCTCCACAGCACTAACCTAGTTTTTGCTTGTATTTGGAATAATTTGTGCGAGATTATTTTAACTGTTAATTTCTATTATAAGCAATCAAACTCAATGAAACTAGTACCAGTCTTGCGGTTTCTTAACTGTCAATATTTCGCGACATATCGTAGTGAGAATGCTTCTATTAAAAACCAGTTCAAATTATGGGTATTTTTTAACTGTATTATTTATGGACCTACGCTTATAATTAAGTTATCTATTTTTAATATCGCAAAGGAAGAATTTTATTTAAATATTACATGAAAGAGATAACGATTTAGTCATTAGATTTGAGAAACGTAAATATGTGTGATAACTAAAGCAATTATCTAGAAGTTTTAATAGATTCATTTGCAGACCGTTTCCATTTTTTCACAATTACTTAATGAAGGTTTTCACTTCGGTAGTTGTTATAAACTCTTTACAATAAAAATGCGTTAGTAATCAACTTTTACAACTAGACCAGCAGTTCGGACAGTCAGACAAGGTTAGAAATCACATGGAAAACAGTCTAACAGAAATATTGAAACAATATTTCAATGGTCTTAACAGATGTGAACAATAATCAATTTTTGTTCTTCCTATTTTAGGCTTACCCATCCAATTGTAAATAATTTATGAAACTATTTTAATAGTATAAATATAAACTGATTACAATAATTTTAATTGGTCTATGAAAACGACGATACTAAAATTGCATAAAAAGTTAATCAATTTGGTTCCCAATTAAAGGCTATTTGAACTCATTAATTGGTGTGATGTGATTTAGTTTATAACAAACTATTCGTAATTAAGAGATTTTATGATTTAATCGGTATACATAGGTCAGTTAACATATGATTAGTGACCAACTACATTCTATTATTTTTAATATTATTGGGGAATTATTCGGGGTATATTTTGCAACCAAAATAGATCCATTGTATGTAACTATGAGTTTTATTCCTGTTTTTTCAGATTTTTTTTTAAATTCATTGCATCATCGTCTAGTGTTTGTTGTTCCAGAGTTTATTAAAAGTAAAGAATTAGCTAAAATATGCTTAGTGCTTTTGATGTCCATTTTATAAAATTGTAAGATATCAGTGTTGAAAAAGCCAAGGTGATAGCTCAGATTTTTCTGACGTTTTATGTAACAAGTAAAACACGTAACTATACTCTAGTCAACGAAAGTGACTTATTTAATGTTTGAGAGCATGTAAGGTGGAATCCAAAGTAAGCAGGACTTAGAAAAAACGCATTGGTAGTCAAGCCATGAATTTGCAGCGTGCTGTCTAAAAGGGTAACAGCCTGCGGTTTTTCTTTGTTTGCTCTCTCTCTGTTGTGCAAATATAGATCAAAGCTATTAAAACAGTGCTACTTATGGAAACGTTGCCGTTTTTAGTGAAAGTGTGGCAATATGTTTTGTCTTCCGTTCTCATTTTATCTGCTTTTGGAACATATTTTAAGGTTAAAACACGTTGACCGCCTAAGAAGATAACACCGTTGAGTGCGTGCGAACAACTTACAAAAACAATATACATAGAAATCCGATAACAAATTCGCAAAGCAAAATAACAGCATGATCTGAGAGCACAAAATATAACAGCAGGAGAAGAAAATATATTGCCACATTTTCACGATAAATAAAATGCTTCCATGCAAAATCCAGTTTTGACTTAAATAATTGACACTATAAACAGAGCAAAATAAGAAAAAAAAGAAAAGATAATAAAACTCATGCATTGAACGTTATATGTTCAACCAGTATTACGGAGTCACAATATCCTGACTTCATCACGGATGTTAAATTCGAGAAAATACCCATATCCTATTTCCTCATTGTAGCGCACTGTTATGACAAATTTTTGAGGAACCAAATATCGGAACTTTAAGCAACAAAAGTGCTTGAACAGTGGTCGCAGTTTGTGGTTTGTGATACTAGTCTATGGAGGTATGGAGATGGAGATTTGTGGTGGTAGTCAGTTGTACAACCATAAACCACAGTACAATAATAATCTGTAAAGTACAATTTTAATTTGAGTGAGAAGATATATTAATAATATACATATTTCGTTTTACTAAAATGTTTGAGATATATAAAATTGAATTAAAAAGTTATAAACCTTTCAGCATTGTATATACGGCATCGTACTCGCAATGCAACGTTCTGTCAGATTTTTCGGCATTTTGTTGCCTTATGGGTAAAAGAAATTATTGCTGCCCCTTCTCCTCTATTCACCTCTATTTGACGCTGTGTGGTTTTCACCTTTACGTAAAAATGTGTTTGCGAAAGCTATCTAAAAGTTATGTACCAACAATTCTCCTCACATGTAAGCCCCTTCAACAATTCACATGTAATAACTCCGCTTCTATTAACCGCGAGCTTCAAAAATTTTAACAGTATATCGGTATGTTAATAAATAGTATTAAAGATCCAGTTATTATATGGCTCCATATTAAGTCGTCTTCATGGACCCCATGGAAAAAAAGGTTTTAAATAAAAAGATAATCAGTTTCATAACTTATACATATATACATATATATATATATATATATCTCATATGAAATATATATTTTTTATATGAGTTCCCGGTCATTAAAGAGAATTAAAAAGCGAAGAACAGTTTAGCCGTTTTACTGCTTCCATGAATATCATCACTTTCCAGCTAGGTAATGATAGACAAAAGCCATCCACAACATGAAAAAACATCCTGGTCAATCTTATCCAAAGAGCTGATTAACCGAGTTCATACTGCTACGCTAATTGCTATTCTTTCAAATGACAGGTGTACTGAACAGTTATATTTTCATCTTTTTCTCGATCCACTCGTATACGAATTTTTTCTTTCACGGTTGTTAAAAAATAGCAATAAGTAGGGTTGAAACTTTGGCATCACTGTTAAATGCTTACTCTTGATATATGTTTTTGTTGTGTTGTGTACAATATGAAATATAAAAATTGTAAATACTAAAAATTAATTAACTTAAATAAAAGAAAACAAAATGAATGTTAGAAGGACAATTAGAAAGCTAACCATTTTCATCACATATATTTAAATTGATTTAATTATTTATGTATTTGAATTTATTAGCAAATAAAATGTTTATATGATTTCAACAAATGACAAACTTTGCAACATATCTCTAGTAAACATTTACAATAGACTGATTTTTTGATTTGGCTGCACTAAAACTTATGACGTAAAACTTTTTGCGAGTAAAATCTAACTCTTAAAATTTTAAGAGCTTTGTTGTTGCTTCACATAGTTTCTATCGTAACTTGCGAGTATTTTTTTGCTACTCTAAAAGAAAAAATTATGGCTTATGTAATTAAATTTGTCCAAAAATGACCAAAATCCAATAGAAGGTGTATTTTTTTAACATGAGAGCTCCAACAGAACAAGTGTCGCTTAAAAATTAACATGTTAAGCAAAAATTCGCTAAAATAAGCACACTTTCCTGAAAGTGTTTAACGAATAAGCCTTTTGCACTACAATGGTGGTAAATCTTAAAACTAATTTATTGTGAATGATTATTGGAAGAAAATAGAAAACTGCAGTAAGCTGGTTATTATTTATGACTGTTAAGTCTGATTAGAAATTGTAAAGAAGTCATAAATTCTGTATTATGTTCATTACAAAATGCAATACATGAATAAATACAAAACACAAGGACTTTTCGGTGGCTCGCGAGTATGGCAAAAAATGCATACGGGCCTATATTGGCCACGCGAGTCATTGGCATCACTGTTGCAATCTGTCAAGTGTTATATTTTCACAATTAGCAAAAATAGCATAATGCAAGCAAATTACATTTTTTATAAAAATAAATAATTAACATAGATTGATAACATTTTGTTGGTAACATTTGGTAACACTTTTTCAATTTTTTTTTTACTGGTCGATGTGTGGTGGGCCAGTATACCTATACTGGCTGAGATAGAGAAAATAGTGTTGTTGTTTTGCTTACATTTCGGCCAGTATAGGCCAGCAACTTGCTGTTTTTTGCCGTACTTGCGAGCCAATGAAAAGACCTATTGTTGTTTTGCGCACATTTCTACCAGAAAAGGCCAGCAACTTATTACCTTCTGAAGAGCTGGAGCTATCAAAAATTTCAAGTATTTGATCAATGCGCCGCTCTTTATTTCACTTTTTTTCTCCGTTATCGCGGATAAAGCCTAAATAAAATGTGTACTTTTACATAAATTCAAAGACAATATAAAATGCTCACCAATAACTTTTTTGTGTCATACATTTTCTATAGGTTTATACACAAAAATATTTTTATAAAATTATCTGCAGGTATTTTTGTATTTACATGTATTTATCAACCACAAATTTGTTTAAAATATTTTTTACTTGTCATATCTTAACTGATTTAGGCAGTGATGCCAATTTATTGTTAAGCAACCAGCGGCTCGTTTAAGTAACTTTCTCACTTAGTTTTTTTAAACGATTTTCTCACTTTTGAAATTTAGTTACTCGAAATGTTTGTCAAGACTGAGAAAAATCGTTCGAGAAAACGAAGTGAGAAAGTTACATAAATGAGTTGCTGAAGTTGTTCTATTGGAGCATCCACGTCAAAAGAATACACCTAGAGTTTTCATTTACAACAAATCACACAAAGCGGCAATCCCAAGTTTCAACAGTTTAATCAATTTCGTAGCTGATTAAAATTAAGCAACTTCGAAAGTTTTTATATAGTTATTTATATATGGTAGAAATTATATTTTTACATATGTTTTTTTATATAATTTTCGCATACAGTAAACTGTTAGACGCTGCTTACATATAATCAGTTGAAGAGGCATTTAATGGTTTTAGTAACTGGCATTATAGGGTTCGTAATCAACTGTTTAACACTGCTGAAATGTAAGCAGTTTAAGAAGCATTTGTTAGTTTTCGTGAATAAGCTTATTGGAGTTTTTTTTATTTAGTTAACTAACTTGATTAATAAATGAAACAAAATCATGTCTAGTAGTAGGAAGAAGTCCTCTTGCAGTAGAAACAAGATATTAAATAAGTTTATGAGATTAAAGTGTTTATTATTAATATGATATAGAATAAAGTATCAATATTATTGCGTTTGAGAGTAATAAGTTTTTAATATATATTTTTTAATTAATAATGGCGTTCTATTAATTTCTCCCATTTACTGATTTGCAGTTATTAGATTCTTTTAAAATTCGATATCGATAAAAATCCAATGTTGGGATTTTGAAAAATATAAAAAACAATACATATTTCTAAGATATTCCGTTGGTATGATAAATATAATAAAAGATAGTAATTACATCCTACATTTTTATTTGTTAGCTTCTGTTTTAAGCACTGAAAAATTTTGTACATGGAGAATGTCTAAAAAATGAATCAAAGCAGTTGATTGAGAACCATATATTTTTGTGCCGACCCTTGAGAATTTTCAATACTCATTTTAATCATACCTGTCATCTATTATAATTTGGTCATCAAAGTTTGATTTTTATGAGTTTGATCATTATTTAATATAATAAAATATATAATAAAAAATAAAAATTGAGATGAATGTTATACTTTTAAATTATTTATTAAAAAGTAATTTGTAAATCATTAATGATATATAAATTTTAATATTGTATTTTGCATTTCTTTATGATTAAAGCACACAAAAGCCAACTACAATTTGTGCGTTCTGTGTTGCATGAACGAAGAATAGCGAAATATTAACATATGTTTTCGTGTGGAAATTGGGCTATCTATCCATTTCAGTGATATGTGCAAATAACGCTTGATGTCGTCGGTAGTTGTCGTTGTTTTGTAGTGGAATAAGGAAGTTTAGTCCGCAGATGAGTGCATTAAAATGGTAAAACACGGGTTACTGTTTCCGAAATCGAACCAATTATAAATAGCGCAACACGGAAATAATGATGAATTAAAGTGCTCGTTATAGAATTGAAATACAAAAAGTGCTTTATATGTAAACCGTAAAAATATTGCATTTTACGTCCCATCATATTTTGCCTCTCTAAGAAAAGTATTTTTAAGAGATGTTACCAACAATAAAATTTGTGTAGTGTTAGAGGAGGGTAAGAAGTCTAAGACTTGGAAGGAGTAAAAAGCATGAGAAACATTGCTCTGTGCTCCACCTATGTAATAATCTGCGGCGGGATTGGGAATTGTTTGTGTGATTGCTTCGCATCTTAAATATGTGTAAGTGCTGAAGAAAAATTTAAAACAATAAAATTGACATAAATTTATAACAATGTATAAAGCTTCATTAATAAAATGATTTATGTGAAGTGTTAATTTTCTTAATATCGTTTTTTTTTTTTGGCTTAAACAAAAACTCTAACAATTGTAAATGAAAAGTTTAGAGGAATTTGATTTATATTATAAGTAAAGGGTTACCAGCTCCATGTAGAAATAAATTACTATAAAAATTTAAAATGCTGACAAAACTACAATTATAATCTATAATGTGCGGAATAATTTAATTTTTAACTTAACAAAATCTATTTGCATTATTAATTATATATAAGTACGAAAATATGATTTGCTAAGTGAAGTGGTTATCACATTTAAGCTGTTTGATTGAAGTAAGCTATGGTTATGTGAGATGCTCTATTAAATACATTAAAATTCACTGCAAAGTTGAAAAAAAGTGTCATTTGCATAAATTATTGAATAAAAAGTTAAATCAGAGAAGTATACAACGTATTCCATATTCTACATGTTTCGTGAAGTGATTCAATAGGTATCTATATATTACTTTTATACATATAATGAAAATTGCGTCAAAGAGAAAAAAATATATGTAAATCATTAAAAACCTTAAATAAAATTTAAATTTAATTATTTTGCTAGCTGATGTAGGTAAATTATGTATCTATATGTGAAGTATTCCTCCATATGTAAACAAATCTAAATCATTTAAATGAGCTTACACTACTATAAATTTAACAGTAGTTGGCAATCTGTTTACTCTTCTCCCAAAGCAGCTGGCAAAAATATCTGTAATAACTCGCTCTCATTCACTATTTTTCGCCGCATTTTCTTTTTTTCTTTTCGACATCGCATGTTGTTAGAGACAAAACAAAGAAACGAAAAAGTGTTGGACGGTTGCATTCAGACTAATAACTTGCTTGAAAATGTATGAGTTTCATAACATTTGAAAAAATTAAAAGATATAATATTAAAGTGTTAATTGTCGCTTTAATTTAAATTATATTAAATTTTTAATTAGATTCTAATAATGCATATTAACCTCTTATATGAATATAGACTGCTTTGTTATATAATCCTGTAATCCTAGCATTCTAAAAAATTTACGCTATTTTAAATATATTTTATATGGTGTTAAGCAATTGCTATTATAGATTAACTGATAATGTCGTTTAATTGTTACTTTCTTATTGGTAATCATATATAATGTGCGCCTATAAAGAAATGCTTTCATAAAATTTTCAGAAAATTAATTGTTATTTGATTTATATAAAGTATTTATTTATATATGTATTTTTTTTATTTACATATATGTATCTAAATTCTTTATTTATATATTTATATATTTATTTATTTTTATTGATAAATGTATTTTATTAATAAAAATATATAACTTACTTGTGAAGATATCACCTTTTAAAGTTGCAAATTTTTACATAAATAACAGGAATAGCAAGTAACGGGTCCTGAAACGACTGGGTACATATCCTGAAAGTATATATCCCACTTTGTTTAATCGATGTAAAATATGATGTACTAGTTAATACTATATCTATTTTTGTTTGTTTGATCAATGTGTACAGCTGTAGTGATGTATGGTATATTAGAAAAAGCTGCAGAATAATAAAATTCAACAAAAAACATGTTTTTAAGTCTTTCACTTTATTGTAATTTATTTTAAAGTTACAGTTAAAGTTAATTTAAGTTAAAGTTACATATCAATCTAATATGGTTTTAAAGTAATGCTCATGTGTATAGATGCAACTTGACACATCATAATATTCCATTTAAGAAGACTTTCAATATGTTGCAATACATTTTCATTATCGGATTTAACAATTTTGTGACTTTCGATAATCAATAATAATAATTTTATTATACCAGATAATAACAGATGAATATACCAATTGTATTTTAATTGCCTTCAATTGGGTAATTATTAATTGTTTTCCAATAGGGCAATTTTGCATCCAAGTTTTGCAAGAACTAACAGAAAACACGGCGAGGAATGATCATGAAAAGTGATTTTCAAACCAAAAACACAAATTTTTAAGATAATAGAAATAAAAATATAATATATAATAATATATATATATATATCATAATACGTATATATACATATATATAATATAAAAATGCAACACATCTTTCTTTAATTTTTGAATAAATTTCATATATATAATATATATCATTAATAATTTGATAATTAGTTTCATAATTTAATTGAATTAAAATTATTTGATATTAAATCGGTCTTTTATTTTTAATTGGTTTTTATTTTCTATTTATTATTCTATTTTTTATAATATTTTTTGTTTTGTGTATTTTATATTATGTTTTTTTTATTATTTTATGTGTTTTTATTATTTTGTTTTTTTTTTTATAGTTTTTGCATACATTTATGTATATTTTATATCTATAATTATTTAATGTAATAATTTGTTAATAATATATATATATATAACTTATAACTGATATTGATTTTCTTTTATTTTTTTAATTTTTTCTCATTTTCATTGTAAACTTTTATTTTTTATTGAAACATTTGTTTGTTTTTGTTTTCTATTAGTTTTTTATACGTATTTTATATTTTTTATATATTTTTTACATATTTTTTATATATTTTTTATATATTTTTTATATATTTTTTATATATTTTTTGTTGCTATATATTACAGATTTTGTATTCTTTATTGGCTTTGTTTATATTTTATATGAAATAATATTTGTATGTTCTTTATTTATCGTTTATTTTTATATTTATATCATTGCTTTTTTGTGTCTGATTTTTTTGTTTTTGTTTTGTTTTATTTTTTTTTTTATTTTTGGTTTTTCTGTTATTTTTGATTTTTTTTATTGATTTTATTTTATTTTTTATTTATTTATAAATTTTTTTTTTTGATTTTTTGTTTTAGCTTTTATTTTTGATAGTTTTTATTTTGATTTTGTTTTGTTTATGGTTTTTTTTATTTTTGATTTTTTGTTTCAGTTGTTATTTTTTATTTTATTTTTAATTTTTTTATTTTAGATTGTTTTTATTTTACTTATTGTTTTATTTTTTGTTTTTCTATATCTTATTATTTTTATAATACTTTGTTGGTTGTTTTTCTATTCTTTAATCTTTTCTATTATTGATTTTATATTTTGTTGTTTTTGTAGTTTGTTTATTGTTTTTATTGTGTTCATATTTTTTTTATCGTTTTTATATTTTCTTTATCATTTTTACATTTTTTTTATTATTTTTATATTTTTTTTATTGTTTTTATTTCTTTGTATATTTTTCATTTTTTTATATTTGTTTTATTGTTTTTATATATTTTTTTATCGTTTATATATTTTTTTTATTCTTTTTATATATATTTATTGTTTTTGTATTTCTTTGTTGTTTTTATATTTTTTTTATTTTTTTTTAATATTTTTTATTATTTTTATATTTGTTTTATTGTTTTTATATATTTTTTTATTCTTTTTATATATTTTTATTGTTCTTTTATTTCGTCGTTGTTTTTATATTTTTTTATCGTTTTTAATTTTTTTATTGTTTTTTATTTAATTGTTTTATAACTGTATTATAATTGCACAAGAGAGGTACAATAATTATAAGGCATAAACGTTGAATTTAGTTGATGCATACAAAATGTATCTTTGGTATACTTTTGTATTTTATAAAACTAGAAATGCAACTCTGTTGATGAATATTAAGAATAAAAGATATAACATGAAAGAAGAATGAAGCGAATATGAAAATAAAAGTAAAAAATAAAGAAACGTGCAAAACGAGTGAGAAAAATCGACGAGTAACTTTCGTAAATTTATTTCATTTCATCTACCCCAGTACCATAGCTGTATAGTGTGTAAATTTCGTAGTGTTCGGGAATTATTTTGCAGGAAACATTCATGCTTTTAATTACATTAAATTTTTCGCTATCCTCCAGTTACAATATATATCAATGAATTTTTGCACCAACACCAACAGTAGTAGCAGCAGCTAATGCTAAGAATTTACATTTTGTTGGTGAACTTCTCTGCTGTGGAACGTACGATAAATTTGCTTTGGCGAACGCGAATGCAAACGCACACACAAATTGATCAGCATCAGAAAAAATGTGTTAATTTTCGTCACGAACAATTTGATGTTAATAGAAATAAAGAGAATATGGAGGGAGGGTATGTAATACGCAGCCACTCTGGGATGCAAAAACAATTTTATAAAAATTTTATAAAATGTGAATAAATGAACATTGAAGTTATAGCTATCTATCTGGTATCTGTGGTATCTGTTATACATATATCTCCATTGCTAGTGGAGTAATCAAACATTCAAGTGAAATTTGCTAAAGTGACTCTAAAAAAAGCTGACCACTGAACAACTTATTTGTGTGTACACACATGGTACTCGGTATTGGTTGATTATTTGTAGGAGTTGTGGGTAATGTGGATAAAAGAAGGTGGATGAACAGTGGGGGTGTGTTGAATATGAACAATTTATAAGCACGAGCAACCGTGCCGACACCTTGATGTTTTTAGTGTTTAGTGTTTAGTGAGAAAGATAAATTAAAAATCACTTGTTTTAATATAATGAAGTATCTGTAAATTCAAACCCCTTTACATCGATTCAATGAAATGTGTACTTTTAACTATATATGAAGTGGTTTAGTGTTATTAACAAAAAAAAAAGTGTTAAAAGAGTTACTCTACTCGGACGTACATATCTATTCCAATAAATACAAATAAGTGTTGTATAAACATACACATATATATATATATATATATATATATGCCTTAATGCATATGTACGTATTTATATTTATAAATATATATATTCATTTTTATATGTATATATATGTATATATATATATATATTAATTTTTGCATTTTTCTGCTTTGTCAACGTTTCAAATTGCCATCCGAATTAAATCGATTTCTTGTATTCGAGCTTCATGGTAAAAAAATATTTCAAAAAAATCACAAGGAAGACCCATATATTA